GATATAAATACATCCGATAAATATGCCTGCAAATAACTAATCCTCATTTGCTCATAATCTGCTTGCCTTATTTGTTTATCACATCCATACTGCAGAGGGTGCCATCGACATGCATATAGATATAATCATCCGCTTCTCGTCTCCATGACATCGCCTGGCAATTAATTTGAGCGCCATAATTGCTAGATGACTAGTATCTCTTCTTTTCCTAGCCCACGAGCTGATTAACAGCTCAGCTCAAGCTTTAACCTCAGCTAATGCCAGTCTTGAAAACATGATGTTGGGGTGATTCATGAACAGCATTCATTTCCATGATATCCGATTTTCTTTCGACGGAAATTAAGTGTTAAAAACAGTTCTGTCGTTTTCTAGAGTTTACTTGAAAATCAAATATTTAGTAGCTTAGTAAGCTCACAAAAGTTCATATACCAACACTTAACGTTTAGAAATCAAAATCAAAAACACGATTTATTTAGCAGGTGCAAGCTTCAGTTTGTACCATAGCAATAAATAATAAATAACTCTTACGCGCTGACTCAATGTGATACCCAGTATAGAACTTAGAGTTTGACTATATCTAGAAGAAATGCGCACTTTCCACGTGTTGTAGCTTATCTTAACATCAGCTAGGCAGCTAGGCAACTTTTTATGTACCCTACTGAAAACCAAAAAAAAAGAACTGCGAATTTTTACCCAGCACTAAGTCATACTAATCATTTGGATTAACTTTTTAGCATAGAAGATGAAGAAACAGAGAGAAGTTGTAAAAAACCATTTTTCCATCTAGCTTCTATAATTTGTGTGTTTGGATGGGTTAGTTCTCACTGTTGCTTGACTCTGATATCAAAAGGAAATGGTAAACGGGAGGAATGACCCTTCAAACTTTGATTTGATGAACTTTCGGTGGATAAAGTGGTCCAGTAATGAGTTCTATACACGAACAGAAAGATTAGTGGAATCACCCGTTACTTCCGGATACCGCTGGAATAATTAGAGAAAAGAAATTTGTGAAAAACTTTAAAGGGCATCTGTTTATTCTCACTTTTTTGCGGGACATAACAAGATTCCAAAAAATTGAGATGAGTTCTTATATATTTTTTGCTGAGCAGTTACGTGCGTAATTTAGCAAATCAAGCATAAAAATAACGTTTTTGCAGTGGAGCAGATACCAGGGGTACTGTAGTAATGTTTGTAATGTTTCATGCCTGCTTTTTCACCCCCGCAAATGTTTCATGGCTTGCATCATTTTCAAAAAAAAAGACAAATCTCTCAATAAGCGTACTAGCAATCAATTAATTTCAAAATTAGATAACTAATTGTGAAATTTGAACTTCGTTTTGAGTAGGGAATACAGTATATAGGTAGTAGATTTATATTTGCTTCATAAAAAGAGTTCCCCATTTAGAAAAAATTCAATTTCATAAAAAATTCTCCGTTTTGAAACAGAGTTCTCCATTGTTTTGAGAATTTTCTCCCTATTTATAATGGTTACGGTAGGTAAACGGTAGGTGATTAACAGATTCTGGAAAACGCTTTGATATCTCCACACCCTCTCAGTTATCAAGAAATGGTGAAGAATGAGTATGGCCCATAAAAACATGAGCTTTACTTACAATCTCAATTCCATAAATATACATTTATGTAACGTACAAACATCTATAAATATGGAAACATAAACTGAAAACTACTGGTCAGGTTCTTACCTCCAAAACCGGTTGTGTGAAAAAGCAGGAGTTTGTAAGTAAGTTTGGAATCTTTCTTGTAATTCCAGTGTGAACTTCCATTTCTCAACCTCTCAATACAATCTATTTTGCCAAGAGCAACGCTAAGTAGATTTTTTTCAAAGGTGTAGTGGTTAAGACTTGGACAGCCGGAGAAATTTTTTTTTTCGTAGCCTTTGCATACTCAACGCGCGGTTATTAGGCTGATATTTGTACCTTTCCAAGCCAAAGTCTCAAGTCTGTGTTATATGTAGATTAATGGAGCTGTCTAGAACTTCTGAATAAACATGCTTGCGTTTCTATGTGACATTTATGCCAATGCATGGGATGCGATGACAGTGCAAGCACGCGATCCTTCCGTGGAATATTTGATTGTGTCTCTTGAGTGTTGATCTCCAACACTGTCATAGATGAGGAAGTTTTTTGTTAGTTGTCCATTATGCGTTGTCTTGGTTACGGTAGGATCAATGACTCTTGTTTTTCATGAGGTTAGTCTGATCTTTGCAAGATTAACATTTAAGAATTGGGCGGAGACTTCTACTTGTTTTGGAAATTGATTGGGCTGTCACATTTTGTCTTTCATAGTGGGATGATCTCCTTAACATTTTAACATTGTTCACAGTTATCTTTTCTTGTTCGTAAACGCTAAAATATCTAGGGTGTTAGGCGTCCTTACATTCCAACTTCGCTTAACTAGTTTTCACTCTTGTTAAATATCTAAAAGCAAAAGCCTAACAAATGTGGGTACCTAATCTCTTATGCGGGAGTTTTTCAACTAAACCATTGCTAGAGCAGCACTTCATGTGATTTGTCAGCCGAAAAAAAATCAATTTGAAACGATTGCCCAGTACAGTACCTTTCCATGCTAACTTGGTTGTAGGTACGGTATCGGTCAGAAGTTAGATTTCTTCCACATGGCAACTTTGAGTAGTCAAATCCTCTAGTCATTAACTTTGACTTACTTTCAACTTATGTACTCCAAATTATCGTTTGCGAAAAAAAATTGATACCAGGTACAGTGTATAGTCCTTTCGATTTTTCAAAAAAAATTCTGTTAGTTTCGCTTTTCCAAAACTAGTTTTAGTGGATGTACATGTTCCATTCGTCTCTTGAGACCTGTCATTCCAAGAGACTTAGCAACTTCTCGAACTTTTGCAGGAAAATCTCATTATGCTCCTTTCCTTGCAGCACTTTGAAGACAATGTCGTCCTCTATTTTTACTATTTGTGGTAGAAGTTTTATTTTTGAGTTTTCTTTATTAATAGCAACCAGCGATGGAAAATTTTACTGCCTAAAAGTTTGCGAAATGTTATCTTTTCAACTATCAAATACTAAACAAAGTCAATGTCAATTGCGTCTTGACAAGACATCAATAGTATTACTGTAACTATACGGTAGAGTGAATTGACATTCTACTTGTAGAAACAATTGCCAGTCACTTCAAACAATAACATGATAAAAATCTTGGTCAAAGCATTATACAGGACTATAGCAGTCTCATAAAAATAAAAAACAAGAAAATAGCCAGTTGCTTGAGCTTATCTACGGTAGTCTTACTGTACTCCTCAGCATGACAAGCGCGATGTGCAGTCACAATCAGGAACCTCAGAGGCGTCAATTTAGAAATGATGTTATCCCTCTTTATAATTTGGGAAAAAGAAGCGATCACGTTTCAAGGTGATTCATGATGGCGTCAAATGCCTCAAACACAGTAATTACTTTGTTTTTATTTCAATCTGCTTTTTTACAGCTAACGCAAGGCATGATTCTTTATTCAATCAGGAAAACATAAAACGTAAGCGAGCAGGTGGTAATATAAAAGGCAACTGACAATCATATTTCCATGAGGGCGTTGTTAGCATAAAGTGAACGGTTTTGCATCATATGTGCCAAGATCTGAAAAAATTGTACTTGAGTTCATGCACTTATACTGTTGCTTTTATCCAATTCACTCTGGTTACAATTTTTTATTTATTTTATGGTTTAGAAAGCAAATCAAATTAACTAAACTTATCAACTCACAAATCAAAACCCAACCACTCGCTTAGATAATGTGTCTTAAAAAATTTCAGTCGTCATCCTGAATTAGATTCTTTTTTCAGTAAAGACAGATGTTTTTTTACCTCTGCTGCCAATTTTGATAGTTTTTCCCGTAGTTACTGTAATCACAAATTTTGATAGAAATTTCTTGAGCTGGTGATATTAGGTGATGAGCTCACTTGCAACTATCATAGTCCTCCCTAGCACTGGTGGAATGGGCCCCCCCCCCCTTTAGTGGATCACGAAGCAAAAAAATCTTAAGTTGTAATTTAAACAAGATGTATACTGTATACTCGTAAATAATCAATATCATTTTTGACCTCTTTGCGCAAATAAGTTTGTGAAAATTTTTCAGGAGGCTTGAAAATTTAGAGATTATGCTTAATCTGGAAAAATCTCGGAAGGTTTTTTTGGAAGGCATCGAATGCCTCCTTCTTCGCCTGAAAAAATTATAATATATATCATCCCCCGTGAGGAAATTCTTAGACCAACATTGAACTCTTGTACTGCATTTCATCACTTTTGCTCAGTTTTGTACTTAGATGTTCTCACTTAAGTTCTTCCTCATCAACTCTTTACGAGCAAGCCATTCGTCGACTGTGGAATGTGTTCCTTATTATGTTTTAGAACCGATGGAAGTCAGTTGCCCTTTCGGTAACGAATGTTTGAACTCAACGACTCTCATATATATCGGTCCTTTATGAGAAGTACATAGTTAAAGCGGTCTAGATAATTTTTGAATGATTTTTATAAGGCGAAGCGGACAGGGGCGTAGAAGAACAAAAATTAGGTATATACAGTTTAAAGCGCGCAGAGATGACGCCACTGCAGACAATGCACTGCAGTCAGCGTCTCCTCGAACAAATTCTCTCTCGTCCCTCTTTCCGTCTGCGTCTCTCTAGAGTGGATGCAGCGGCTGCAGTCTCTGCGTGCGATGAATTGCCTGTAGTTCCACATTAGTTCACTGCAGTCAAAATAACATATTATATATAGAGGTCTGACGGTTCATATGGTGCCCCGGAGTGCCAGCAACGTTTGCGCGTAGAAAAAGTGCTACTCCTCATTCTCGCGCAAGTGTTGCCGTTACTGTAGAAGCACTAGATAAACCGGCCAAACAACTACCATAGCTTCTAACTTCTTCTTCTTTTCACCCTTCTCGCCTCGCTCTGAAAAATTTTCGTATAACTGTTAAATCTGTCATAATCCCAACTCACTGCCTGATTATTTCAGATTTCTGAGATGCACAAGTCCGATGAGGATCCGATTCTGAAACCGGAGAACAAGGGTAGGTCTACTCGTGCTTGTGCTTGTCGTCGTCGTGATGTTGATGCGCCCGCGCTCTTGCTAATCACAAATGATTGCTTTGGCAGCGGTTTTTAATTCTCGAGTTCCTGCTTTGCTGATTGCTTTCGCGCATTTGATCGGGTCTTAGCTGTATTTGGATCCTCACAATTAATCATCATCATTCCCTACACCCCTTTACAGAGTGTTGGATGGAGATTTTCTGGTCTCTATTACAGTCGCTCGCGTTCCAACGGTCGCTTTGTGTGATTGCACAAATCTGCTGGATTGCTTCGCGAGTTTGATCGGGTTCCGATATTTGATATCTCTTATATAGTTAGTCATTGGCAGTTTCAAAGCCGTACAGCGCTTTCAGAAAATTTCTGGCTCAGCGGCAGTCTTTTCCATTCTAGCAGTCTCTTTGTAAGATTACACCAATTTTGCAACCTGCTGCATTGCGGGCCGGTTGTAATAGAGTGACTATTTTCGTTGAAAAAACATTGTAACATCAAAAGAAGATAAATCGATTACACACAGTGAAAACAATAGTTCTCAAATGCACTTGAATGTACATTCAGAAAGTAGGGCAACTACACAAAGGGACTGGGGAATGGCTACAGTACCTAAATTCAAATATTGGCGCATTTTTGTTTTTCAGTGCTTGCCCACCTTAACTAATTCACAACTGGGAGATTTTTTATTAGCTTCTACCATTGCAGAATATTATTAGATTTTTTTGTAAATTGGTAGTAATTTTGAAAAATTAGAGAATGTGCACTCAGGATTTAGTGGGTCTAACAAGGAAAGGATACTTGGTGACCGTGGCCTTTTGAAATGAAACGTACACTACTAAATGCATCTTGAAGCGCTGATTCCAAATCTGTTTTCATTATCTGCTGTGCGCTCTTCCGAAAGAAGTTATGAGCATTTCTATCTTTGCAATGTTTTTGATGCAAGATTCACCAATATCGTTAGAATGTTCGCTTACGCACTACAAAAGAGCGTACTGATAAAGTAAAGTTTTACGTTAAGTTCAGAACTGTCACCAATACATCAGAGTTTAAAAAGCCTGGATACTGACGATTTTGACCGCCTAAATCTCGCAAAATCAATATGGAAAAAAGTCCATAACTTCGTTCAAGGAGTCGCACAGCAGATAATAAACATAGATTTAGAATCAGCGTTCCAAGATGCACCTACTGGTATACATCTCATTGCAAAAAGCCACGGTCACCAAGTATCCTTCCCTCGTAAGGACTGTCAAGGATATCTATTGAAAAATCAAAGCCGCTTCGATTCTTGGCGTCATACGGTGAGGTTACGGTAATCCTACATACGTTACTGAGCTTCAGAAAGACTGTATCAACTTAATTTATGAGTATTTTTCGTTGTTCATCTGCATTCGTAGATCAGGAACATACTAAATATTCTATATTTCTTGAAAGCGTTGGCTCAGTTTCAATTCCTAAAAGGCAGTTTGGGTAAAGCTTTGGCTAATGTGAAAATAGGTGTTAAAGGCAGCGTCCAGGCAAATCTGGACATATGGGAGTCTCACATGGATAGCTTGGGGTTAACTAAGGCACTGCGCAACCGGCAGCTCATTACTCTAACGGCTGAGATATTCGTCTCGAAATTGGACTCCAGGATCGTATTTCGCATGGATTCATGGCGCAACCCATCAGCTTCGCGCGAGGACCCACGCCTTGCGCTATGAATCCATGCGATCCTAGGGTCTAGTTTGGAGGGGAATATCTCAGCCGTGGCCCTGGCACTGATCATGGCCATATCGACTACACTTCTGAATGGTTTTAACTGTAGCCGCGCATTCAAGCCTTTGCTCTAAAAATTTCCCGTAACTTCCTACACGAATGCGCTTTGCATATATAGAAAACAGATTTAGAATCAGCATTTCAAGCTGTATAAGATGTAAATTGCATATGGAAATGTCACTTCGACCAAGTATCCCCCACTGTTAGTGCTGGGACAGCGTGGTGGAAAACACGCGCACGAAGTCAAGGAAACGACGAGGTCGGGTTTAGGACCCTTTAATTTCGAATCATTGTCAGTTGAAATTACACGGGGGGGGGGGGGGGGCACGGCAAGCAAATTCTTCTGTGCTTGTGCGGTATAAGATTTTTTGTTCTATAATCAGGGCTCGTTCGTTTTTTGGAGATTATTTTTAGGGATTATGGACGAGGGTCAAAGGGGACTTCATAAAAATTTGCAAAGATCAAGGGAGACTTCGTTTTTTGCATTTTGAACTAGCCACCTCGTGCCGAGCCCTGTTTATAATTGATAAAAATATGTAGGAATTTTTCTTTGACGATCGGATTATTCTGCTTACCTCCCCCCTCCCCCCCCCCCCCCCACCCTCCCCCGCGCTCCTTCTCCTTCTCTCTCCTAGTATTGTGACAGTAATATAAGATGCCTTTTGGGTAATTTCGGACTGCAGCGGAAGATTCCTATAACTCACCTTGGTTTTAGACTATTGCGGCCTATCTCCTAGATTAAGTAACTTTTTTGTTTGATTGGAAAGGAGAATTACAAGGCAGGTGCTTCACCTCATTGCAAAAATCTCACTACGTAATGCTGTATCCTCATATTCGATACAGACTTGCAGCCAAAAAGCATGTCTTTCGCCTGGCTATCAAATTGCTTACAACTTTGGAATTTCGTTTATATTTGTGCCTAGCTTCATCAATTCTGCCCTAATTTTCAATGGCTTGGCGGAAGGCCGTTCTTTGTGATGTAATGGTCGTTCGCGCCCGCTACGCAGTCTGCGTCTCTCTCGCACGCGCGCTCTCTGCTCACTATCTAGCCTCAACTAGGTTGCAAAGCCCCGCCTTCCACGCGCCAGCCAGTTGTTACAAAGAATATGTCAGTCCTGACTGCATACCACAGGTCTAGCCGTCAAGCCAGTCAATCGAAGGAAGAACCATTCGAAAGATTAAGATCTATTGAAGAAACCGGAAATTTATAAAAATTTGGCTTTTACAAAAGTAAGGGCTTATTTCAAGAAAATTTTTGTTTTCGCACGTGCATGTCTTCCTAGGTATCTAAAGATTGTGAAGTGGTCAGAAGAATTCAAACTCTGTACTTTTTTATTGAACTTCCGCAGTAAAAAAAATTTTGTAAATGTTTTTGGAAGGTACGATCTTGCGCTTTAGCGCCTTCTATCATTGTAATGGCCAGTGTAATCGCTTATTCTAATAGCATTTCCATCATCAACATTTTTTTCTATTAGGATTGAAGTATTCATCAAAATTTTTCCAAATATGTAATGATTAGCTTTATTGCTCGTCATCCTGTTCGATATCAGCGATGCATGATGGCTTGATAGCGATCCGGCAAATTTTCGAGTTCCAGTTTTTCACCTATTCGTAGCCTTCTCGCCATAAAGAACTCATATTTGGGCTTTTCAGCGCATGAAAATAGCAAGAATTAGCCTTTTTCGAAATTTTTTAGGTGCGAATTTAGTGAAAATACGCCGGAAGCCTTCCGCCCCCTCCTCCCTCGTTCCGAATCCCGCCCACTTACAGGTATTCTCCACTGAATGCGACCTAGAAAACTTCGGAAAAAGCCCATTTTTGCCATTCATGCGCTGAACACCCCAGACGGATATGGGTTCTTTATAGCGAAAAGGCTCCGAAAAGAAAAAAAACTAGAAACGAAATTTGTCGGGACGCTGCATTTAATACCAACAGTGAATTTTGATTGAAAACACTCACCTACCGATCAGAGGTAGAACTAATCGAACGTCTAAGGCTTGTAGAAGAAACCGAAAATTTGTAGCTAATTGGCTCTGAGCTGAATAGGGGAATCTGAAGGGAATTTTCAATACCTTCTCACGAGAGCCCTCCCTCCCCCCCCCCCCACCCTCCGAGAGAGGGTCGCGAAATTTTTGAAAGTTGCTTATATGGATTATAAAAATGTGCAAATAATTTGTCTGTACTTGCCAATAATTAGAATGAATTTTAAAATTTTTTAAAAATTTATTTAAGCCTTATAAAAAAAATTTACTCAAGGGCGTGGCTACTGCCACGCCCCCTTTTTCTAAAATTTTGGGGTCATGGGCCCGCAAAAATTTTGGAGAGCATTCCGAAATTTTTTTTCGTGGCTGACGCCATGCATCTTCTTTTGAAAAATTTTTTTGCCCCCCCCCCTCCCGGACGGAATTACCGCAACCGCCTCTGTAAAGTGGTTATCGTTTTTGGGACAAAAAGCAACGGGGATATTGTTTTTGTGGCCGAAAAGGCACAAAAACAATATCCACGTCTTTTTTTTAGTCAACGTTTCATTTTATTGAGGTTTACGTTTGGAGTTTAGGGTGGGTAGAGGAACGAAGGTCGCCCCTTCCGCGGACTACTGGTCCCGGAACGACATGCAACTATATTGCAAAAGGACCAGTAGTCCGCGGAGGCGGCTCAAACTGGCGGCCTTTGTTTCCCTACCCGTTTAGGGTCAAAGGGAACTTCGTACGAAACTCTCAAAATCTATGGGGAATTCTAAAATTTCCCTAGTGCCAGTTGCCCTGTATTCAACAGTAGATTTCCCATGACCAAATTTCAGGGTTAAGGCCCATCATTCACTTTGATGTCCATGTCGCATTATGACCTTTAAGTACTCATAACAAGCTAATTCACACCTGCTAGTTTCTGTCACATAACAGCTTAGCTATGAATAAATGCATAAGTTGCGTGAGCAAGTGCATGTATTCACTATTTGCTTATCAAAGAGTATAGCAGTTAAGCCATGCATATCTTTGGGCTTGATGCCTTGTTTTGGTAGTCGTCCTCGTTCAAACCGTCACTTTGTGTGCACTAATACATAAAATTGCGTAAGTAACTTGTTTTTCACTTCTAAATAATGTTTGATTAACCCAAAAACTTTTCAAAAACCTAAAGGGACCTTGCAAAAATATTTTTGAGAGCCGATTTTCCCACGCCTCCTTATTCAAAACTCTGGGGGTTATTCCGCAAAATTTTGGGAGGTTTTAAAACCTAA